CCCATCCCCCTCACACCTGTCAGGTGCCTCTCCCGCCCCCATCCACACCCCAGGGGACAATGTCTGATAACCCAGCCTGCCCTCAGCAAGAATCCTGTTGGGTTGGTTTAGCCAGATTCCCTCTTACCCCTGATGTTTCCTCTTAGTGATTTTCCGTCCACTCACCCACCGCCCTGCTCCCTGGCTATAAATCCCCACTTCCTGTATCCGGAGTTGGGTCCACGCTCTCTCCCCACTGCAAGACTGACTCTACCCATCTCGATACCACCCCCCTTAAATAGAGCCTTCCTTGTGTTGTATTTTCTTTTTCTTTTATTTTTTAAAATATGTTTTTTATTTATTTTAGAGAGAGAGAGAGAAAGAGAGAGAGAGAGAGAGAGAGAGAGAGAGGAACATCAATGATCGCTGCCTCCTGCATGAGCCCAACGGGGATGGAGCAGCAACCCGGGCATGTGCCCTGACCCCTGACTGGGAATGGAACCCGTGACCTCCTGCTCCATCCACTGAGCCATGCCAGCTGGGCATGAATATTTTCTTGGACAGTGGGTCTCAGGGACAGGTCTGTCCTGGTCTAGTCCTCCCTGGGAGGGCTCACTCAGCCTCACCCCGCACAGACAGGCTGGTCTCTGTGTGCTGGATGGACATGGGTGGGGGAGACAGGATCCCCCACTTGTCCTGGAAACCCCAGAAGGCTGACCCCTCCATTGTCACTCCCATCCCTGCCTGGATCCAGGGCTAGTGGAGGAGGTGGGGGCAGACCCAGCGCTCACCTGTCCTCCGCCTCCCCCTCCAAGTCCAGGGCCTCATGGCTGGCGGACAGGGGCCCAGAGTCCAGGGGGACCGGGTCATAGTTGTAGTTATAAGCAGAGGCTGGCATCAGCTGCTCTGGAAAGAAGGGGGACTCAGTAGGTAAAGGGTGCTGGAAGGAGGAGGCCTGAATGGCAGCCAGCCCAGCGGGACAGGAGAGGAGATGCATGGCCCAGAGCAAGACAGGAGGTGAGAGGTCATGAGAAAGGGGAAGGGACAGGTCAGAGGTGGGGAGATGCAGGAAGGGGCCGGGGAGGAGGAGATGCGAGGCCGGGAGGCTAAGGAATGGAGGGGAGGTCGGGGAGGACAGGAAGCCAAAGGGACAGAGAGATGGGGGGAGAGGGAGATGGGGCCACAAATAATGGGGGAAGTTGAAGGGAAGGGGGAGAGACAGAGGGAGCCTAGTTTCGCAGAGGGAGGAGAGACAGGGATCCATGCGGTGGGGTTGGGCGGGAAGTGAGGGACAAAGTAGGAAGCTGGGAAAT